CAATGAAGAAGAGATCCATATTGAGACCGTTCTGAGGAATAATGTCTTCCCCATGTCTTAAGATTACAGCGCACTGGAGTATGCTATCTATTGCAAAATTTATATATGCAAATATTAATTTACTAATACGAAAATACTGTTTTCATTACAAATCCTTTGTATGAACTCCTATCGATCTTGTCTCGATGCTTGCGATGAGGATTTACTGTGATCTGTTTGCAGTCAAAATATATCAGGCAATAGGATTAAAGTTTATGCACTATTTCTTTGAGAGCTGAACTTTCTACGACTAATTTAAAACTACCTTCTTTCTTATAACGTGAAGCTTCAAGAACAAATTTTGTTCGATAATCTCCAATATCATATCCATAGTAAGTTCCATCGTCAAGCAATAAAAAATGTGTATGATTAGGTTCAAGATCTTGTTCACCTTTCGTTCTCTTTGAGGTATCCATCTTTTCATCTTGAATGGTATTAGTTGATATTTTGGACTAAAAACAAAAATTCAATAATTTACAAACATAAAAAAATTTCAAACATTTACTGATATGAGTGATGCTCGATTTCTAGCTGCACCCCATTTCGAACAACCAATAGCAGTAATATGACTTCGTGGATTAGTTACTTTATGATCATAGATAGCTTCACCAACAAGTTGTACAACACCCGTTTTAAATCCTGTTGTTACAATCCAACCATCTTTGAAATAAATCAAATAAATTTTATCTTTACATATTTTTTTTTTCTCTCTACCTGCTCTTAATGCAGCTTGAATAATACCTTTCATAAATTCTCTTTCAAGTCGTTCATTTAATTTGAAATATTTAGCTCCTCCAATAATACACATTATTAATTGTGGATCTTTAACTTTCCATACGTCAAACATTAATTTAGCAAGAATATTTGGATGTGTTTTAATATCACATCGAATATAATGTGCATGAGTATTCGATATATATCCATATGCATTATTGCAAGCTGATCTTGTATGCTCGTTTCGATTCCATTGGAGATTTTTTCCTTCGAAAACATCCCATGAATGTTCACGACGAAGACGATTACAACCACATGGAATATCATTTTTATTTTTATCACTAAAAAGACATTTTTCTTTTCTTTCAAATAAAAGACAATTGTACTTTTTGATAGCATACGGATCATTAGTTGCAGAAGATTTTGGAATAAATGTAGTGCATGTTCGCCGTTTTATGTTGAGATTATGATGAATTGCATGAGTCCAATCATATTCAGATTGTAATTCAAACTGATTTTAAAAAAAAAACATTTTTTATATGATGAAAAGAAAAGAATTCGAAAATTACAAGATTGACTTTTTGTTCGTTGTTTTTCTTTTTATTGACGACAGAAATACGTGGAGAAGACTTCGTTGTCATAATCTAAATTAACAAATGAATCTTTTCTATGTGAACTTGCAATAAGTTATGGAGAATATTTAAAAATTCTATTTAAAAATATATGTCACAGTTTTTAAGGTAGAATCAAACTTCATCACATTGATATATTTTTTATGCAGCAGCCGTCTATGATTAACAACTACCTATACGAGTAATAGTCTCTAGGTCTGAGGAGTGTTACGTATCCAGGAAATCGTCGATGCTAGAGAATTGCAGGGAAATGTCAAATTACATTTAATGGATCCATGTGTTCAAAGGTAGTATGGCATCTTTCGCTTTTCTCTGCACTTTTCCCACCATCCTTGGTTTTCTGCATATGTGACGCTGCTAAAAAGTTACATGCATACTCACGACAGTATAACTGTTGGTAGATTGTGAGGTTAACTTTTGACGATATTATTATCAGTAAAAGTAACTGCATGCATGCACAAAGCATTTCTTCACTTATATTTATAGTTATGTCACCAGTGACGATGATAGTATGATAAGGAATAAAATGAATGAGTTAAAAATTGTTGGAAGGAAAAAATAAAACATAGTACATAATAGTTTATTATTTGATTAAAATTTGTCTTGAAAGGTTGATTTATTATAAAAATTTTTTACATGGATTTTGTATCTCGCAAATAATAATTATCATGAGTTTTTATTATGCAAAACGTTGGCGGGGTTTTATTTAGGCAAAAAATAAAAGCAGAGCATTTACTAGCATCAATGACATTGCTTATCTACGCACAAGACCAAGTGTACTATTAACTGCATTAAATGGTATGGGTCTTACTAAAGTGCAACTGTATTAAATGTATACTAAAATAAATAACGAACTAAAAATAGTAACTGATCTGATTCATTGAGATTGATGAAGGGCTGCTGTGCTCGTAAAAGCCTATGTTAATATTAATACTATGCTATGTTTGTCAAATATTAAAATTATTCGATCTTATTCAACCCGTGATCGCTAGGATAATAAATGACTGCAGCCATTGTGCCGTTCCATCTGTTACAAATCGTTTTTATAAAAAGAAAACAATATACTTTTAATACTACGACTCTAAGTTGAGCTGGCTCATTAAAAAGTGACCTCACTTGGAGACTTGTTGATTGGATACGTGCGGATAAACGGAACTTCAATAGCTACATTCACACCAGTTGAGTCATCTACAGCAGACAAAATACCTAATTCAAGTTCGAAAATAAGTCAAATTTTCCTAAATTTCACTGGCACTGATGTAGCCAAAAAGCTAGAGCCAAAGTTTTTGGTAACAGTCTAGAATGTCCTTTCGAAAATGTCCTTGGACGAAATGTCCTTTATTTTTTCGTCCTCTCACATACATATATATGTAAGGACGAAAAAATAAAGGACATTTTCGAAAGGACATTCTAGCATGTATTCAACTAACACATTATTTTTCGAAGAATATTTCTGTTAATTATATCACTTGAAAAAAAAATGATTTCAAAGCATATTTCTCATTCGATCCTTTAAATATTCTTTCCATTGTTAAACAATAACTTTCAACACGTGTTCATGTTTGTGAACTTTATTTTTCTTTTAATTCAATTGTTGTTATCGCTGATGATTTCCATGTTGATGCAACTGTTAGAATTTCATTTGGATTTTTAATTATTAATTGAGATTCTCTAGTATCACGAAAAAAACGATCGATTAACTAATTTTGAAAAAAAAAACTGATACGAAATTATGTTGATTTGATGTATTCATTTGAAATATATGATAATGTCGTACTTCTTGTTATCCTCTACCACTCATCAAGTAAAGTTTGCATTGGGTTAACTATGGAAATAGCTTATGTAGTACTAATTATAACAGCGTTATAGTTGACTTTGGACGAAGTCCTCTCTATGTAAAGATGTATAATAAGTCCAAAGTGATCCATTCACCTTGAATGACATTGTTAATTAACTTGTTATGGTTTTTCATAACTATGTTGTTATTTTTTTTTTGTATAAAGCTAAAAAGGTGTTTACTGTAGATTTTTTTTGAGCAATGATTCATATATGCGGATGCTATATGGTTAGATATCAGCAAATAAGGCTTTTTTGGATTGAAGGTCTTTCCTTTGCACGATCATGCCAGAATCGTTAATCTTCGTTTCCAGTTTATAATGTAGAATTAATGATTTGAATTCCGATTCAATATCACCCATTCTTTTTGTTTAATTCTCATCCAGAAGAAAGCCCATAACAGAATCGGAAAGTTTCTAGCTTTTATCGATAAGAATTTATTTAAAAATGGTTATGAAAGGATGTGAATGTGGAAACGGAGCGTTGATGTGAATCTTCTATTCTCTCATACTTACACCCACACTCTACATCCTATTCTAACAGGGCGGCCTTCATTTGAAGTATATCTTATCATTGCGATGAAACTTACCTTTCACTTTTTGGCTGTTCTAACACGAGAGCCTTTATTTGAATTATAATTACAATTCAGATAAAAACTTGAATACATGCTAGAATGTCCTTTCGAAAATGTCCTTGGACGAAATGTCCTTTATTTTTTCGTCCTTACATATATATGTATGTGAGAGGACGAAAAAACAAAGGACATTTCGTCCAAGGACATTTTCGAAAGGACATTCTAGACTGTTACCGTTAGTTTAACACTTGAATGTTTCATGGATCATTTACTTTAATTTATAGCACCATGAATGTGATTGAATTTGTGAAAAATGTCTTATTAATCACACTGATTAGCAAAAAAAAATATCAACAATTATATCAAATTATTGTTAAAAAATATTTTAGTAACATGATTATGAACAACAAGCATAACTTAACCAAAATGAATTATTTTCTAATTTACAAATTACAGAAAGAGTTTCTCATCAAATCACCTCAGTAGTTTTGATTTCGATTTTTCGACCTTTTCCTTGAACGTTTCAGTTCAACAATTTTCCTCTCGAATCATTTTTTTTTGTAAAAAGTATCAGAATTATACTGCTTTATATTTTTTTTTGTCCAAACAGATCATCATTTTTCATCTTTCTATCTAAATACATAAGATTAATATCTTGGCTGTACAATAAATATTTGCTGATATTTCATTCAACGCATTGCTTATTAAATTGGTGTATTTCTTTCGATCTTTGAAGTTTGTCAATCGATAAAAAAGAATCATAGATATCCTGAAGGTAAATAATATATTACACTTTTATATCGTACGCCAGATTATTATAGCACTAACGAAGCTTTTATTGACTGTCTCATAATTATATTATCTGACTTCGATTATTTCAATCGGATAAATTATTTGTTGAATTCTATCTATTCCTTTCGAGCCAAGGAATGATACGCCAGAAGAAGCGTTTGATCACTTTCATTTCAATGTGACGATCGGTACATCCATCTACATCCACATCCAAGTTCTTTCCATTTGATTTCTTAGTCAAAAAATAATAATATTAATACGTCACTGCTTTCTGCTGCATTATGGGAGATTTCTTCCCAACTTCTTTTTCAATCAAAGAAAAACTTTATTAATCAATAAAAAAATAGACATTTTAAGTTTTCTTTTAAACTATAAACTGTTTAAATCAAATTTAAAAATAGGTGAACGTGTTTTCAATCATCATAAACATAGAGCATTGATTTAGTGAAATCAATAAGAGCTGTATATAATGTCACCGTATTTGTCTGACTTGTTGATGCACGACGATATACGGGATGTTCAGATTCATATTTTTCATCACCAAGTAATTGCAATGCTTGAATTAATAGTTTTATATTACCAAATTCACTAGCACGTTTTTCACGCATTTCACCTTTGGAAGAAATAAAGATAGAAAGAATGTATGAAATGTAAAAAATAATTTACATTAAGCTTGGAATCTAAACCAGTTCGATTAGTCCTCAGACAATTTTCAAATTATTTTTAGTTGGTGAAAAATATTGTCTCTACGCAAGGGAAACATCAGATTTCAAAAATTGAGATGATTTGACATAGTGATAAATATAAACCGAAAAAAAAATATATCAAATCTTATAAACCAGACACAGATTTCCTCTCATTTAGAGTAGAAAATCGTTTTATTTCTAATACTTCTTAAGAAAAAACAAGAAGTTCCTTGCAGTTTCCAATCGATTCCTATTTGACACTTGAAATTGATCCGATCTGATTCGCCAGACTAGTTCTAACTTTGATTTGCGTTTATATACACGAGAGAAAAAGTTATCTGGTTTTTTAAAAATTTGTGTAGGTTTCGAAGGAAAAAAGAAAGTAAAGATTTAATACTGGGGTGCTTGTACTTTTTCTAATCAAGCATAGGATAATCTGTAATCGATCTGATGATTGTCTGAGTAACAAATTTTTAAAATATCCTATGTGATTGTGTGAAAGTTTCTAAATAGTAGTTTACAAATTTATTGAACTGTGTAGAGCTTTCGCTTGAAAAACGTACCTTCATGAGTAAAACCTTCTAATTGCAACCATACTTACTGGATGGAAGTGGTTTATATTCTTCAGGCACAGTTTGGAAATGAATATAGTGATTGAAGTGACAATAGTAATCGAGTGAGAATGAAGATGATCGAATATCCTTATGTTTCGTAATGATTTGAGTATCTAAAATATAGGTAAAGTAGTAAATCAATATAAAAAAAAAAGAAATAGGAAAAGCAGAAATTGTAAGCTACCAACTTTCGATTTGTTTCTCATTTAAAATATAGTTAATATTACATTGATTTCTTTTTTCATTATCATTTGATGGACCAATTTTATAACTTAATATATATTTTTGAGGAGTTCCATCTGAACAACGAAATCGAACAACATTCAAATTGAAACCATAGGCTGTTAACTGTGTTTTAAGTATTTGATCTAATTGTTGTTCATTTTCAACAGTTAAAATAAGACGATTGAGTAATTGACGTGATAGATAGTTTTTTATGCGAGATGTTTTTGGATAGAGACCATTGTATGTAAAAACAAAATCATGATGATTTGCTCCAAAACCATTACCTATAGTAAGGTAGAGATAATTAAAAAAAAACAAACAACATTTAATTTTCCGAAGATTATCAAAAGTCATCTCAACGGTCTGTTGAAATTTTGCAATTGATCTAAGAAAAAGATATTATCACATAAAAAAATTTTCAAAACTTTTCTGAGTTTTCGTTTTAAAAAAAAACCGTTTACACATATATTTTTGGAGAATCAAAAAGGCGAATCTTTTAGACAAACAAAGTTTTTAAATAAATATCGAAACATAATGGAAAACTCCTCTCATGACTTACCAGCGAGTTGTTCAAGATACCCAAATGCTATTAATTGTTCATTTGGACTTTCTCTTTGTTCTTCCTTTCCATTAATTCTATAAACACTTGATTTAATAGTTGCTTGGAGGATATAACTCGTATTTCAATTTGAATCTGCTTCATCCTCATTATGTACAATAGATAACAGTTGTTCATCATTATCGAGACGATTTATGAGAGCTGATGAATATGAACTACGTCGTTGTTCATTTTGTTCTTCTTCATCATGTATATCGTTTGCTGCTTTCAATTCATTTTTATAATTTAATACTAAAATTTGTTCGAGAGAAACTTCAGAGCCATCACTTAATCCTTTCAATTCATCATAATACCAGAGATATTCATTTTGCATTGTAGTTGTATATGAATTTATATATTGAGAACTATCATCAGTTTTTATAAAATTAAATAATGGTTGTAGATCGTTTGTTTCCTTTTTAATTCGTTCTCGTATTCGTTAAGCTATAATTTGTCCAAGTTTAAAACTACATTCATAGTGTGTACCTTCAACAGAATAAAAAGGTATACGTTGATCCTGATGATTGTAGTTGTTGTTATTTGTTTCAGCAGAGATGATATCTTGGATTGAATAAAAAAAGAGAAATGATGAGATAATGTAGTTAGTTACATATAATGAATAGAAAGAGAAAAGAAAAAAAGAATTGTACTCACATCGTCGTTATGTGTGTATTGGGTATAATAGCATTAATATAGATGCGGCGTCATCGAGTTCGTTTGAGGTACAATTCATTATGGCATAAGAACAAAAAAAGAAGAAAATATGAGGCTTCATGTGCGTATAAGTGATGTTTCATATGTAATGGCCTCATGATTTCTTTGAATCTTTTCTACATTCAAACATGGAAAGGTATTGGATATATACTCTTGAAGATTACCAGCTAAGCTATTATTGAATAGAATTTGCATCCATCATTAGAAAGTGTCACATTAGTAAAAATATTGAAAAATTTTTATCAAAACCATGTCTTATTTCCCTTCTGTAAACAACTACTTAATCAATATTTTGTGAATAGCTCTGCTAATTTTTGCTGATTTGAGTTGAATTTTTTCCAAAAGGTAACTTGTAAAATTCTCTACAAATTCCATGAAAAAGAGCTTTTCAAAAAAGAATGATGTAAAATGATCTGAAGCCTGTTTAATTAGAAGAAGCGGAATAATTTGGTTTATAAATATGCTTCTGTGAAAGTGGATATTTTTTTCAAATGTAATAATACTAATGATTGGATATGGTTTTTCGATCATCTTTTTGAAGAGCTATTTTTTCCTTGAATTTTCTAGAAAATTGCACAGACTTCTTTATCACAAAATATTGAGTAGTTCTTTACAAAACAGAAGTAAGAAACGACTTTGATATAAATTTTTCAATATTTTTACCAATGTGGCACTTTCCTTACAGTCAACGCAAATGGAATGAGGATGTAGGTATGGAAGTGGGTATGTGGGCGTAGGTTGTGGATACAGGTGTAGAGTGTTGCTATTGTTTTCAGCAATATCCACGTCGACACCCATATCCACACTTCATACACAACCACACACAGCTACACCCCATGCTCATACCTCTCAGCTGACGATACTTTGCTTTCAATTCAGTAAAATCTATATCGTTTGATAGAGCTCAGCAAACTGTACCAATTGAGCTGAATTTCATGAGCGATTCAAGCAAGGAATGGGTGTAGGTGTGAGGGTGTACACTCTGCATATAAGTGTAGATCTCATTTTTATCTACAACCAAACACACATCCATCCCCTCAAAATGTAGTGATAGTTCAACCAGAAACACATGCGTGATCGAAATTTGTGATTGCGTCGAAAAATAAGTATAGTTCCAATCATCCAAGAATATCAGCCATTACTTTCGTTTCTCTATACACTTCATCATACTTCATAAATCAACAGGCACTATCAAAGTTAAAATAAATTTGAAAACATTTCCAAAGCAATATAAGTGGCAACCAGAAAAGATCGAACCGCGAAACACAGGATATTCTTTTCAACATTTCAGTTCTTAATTTTGAAGATCATATATTTCTCGAAAAACCTTGCTTCTGTTAACGTTCTAGAAAAAAATTTTAGTTGCATTGGTCTCCCTCAACTAAATGCCTTGGCATCGATCTATATATTTTTGAAAATAACATCAATGCATATTTACTTCTCAAAGTGGTAACTGTTTTACCAGACTAAGAAAACTAGCTTAACTGCAAGACTATTTCTCATGCATTACTAAGTTTATGCATTACACAATCATACTAACAGAATACGTATGTAATTGAGAAAAATAGAGTTTATTTTCAATCGGCTATTTGTCATTTCATGGAAAAAATGACTGTCTTTAAATGAAAAACTCATCTATAAAGAAACATTATTCAAAAGTTCATATATATTACAATCATGTCAACTAAAAAATGAATTTTCATAAATCAGTTTTTCGTGATTATTGTCCGAAAAATCTTTTTTCAATCTAATTTTTAGGCTGTTTCATATTGGGGAACCCAATGATTTTTATTTCTCACTTTTTCAGTTAAAAGATTGGTGTTTCTTCGGTCATTTCGATTAAATTTGAAGCAGACTCTTCAAAGACTATCAAAATAAAACAGAAATTTTTCCAAAGCTGATGAAAAAGAGAAAAGCTAGCTAGTTCACGATATCTCATAAGAGACTATTATCATATGAGTGTTAATTAACATCGTAACCATGTTTGCTCTCGTTCACTGTTGACAAGCATTTCATTTTAGGCATAGGTAACTGCTTCATATTTTAATTAAATAGACACACATATTGCATTTGCATGAGACATCAAATTACTGGAGCGTTTACTGATGTAAGAAACGCTACGAAAAAAAAAAGTATACAAATCGTGAATATGAGACAAGACTCCAAATTTAGTGAAGGCAAGAGACAGAACGCAAGAGAATACCCCGTATTTTGCTATACCTCTCCATTCTATCATATAGTTTTATTCATCATCACAACGCTATCAAAAATCGAAAAGGTAAACATTGCCTTCAATGATCACATTGTTCTATAAGATATATTTTATTGAAAGAAAAAAATGCACAACTTTTCTATTTCTAGATACAATTTCTTTACTTCTATTCTGTAGAAAATGACTGAAAGCAACGTTTGGAATGGTAGGTAACTTTTGTTTGACTTCAAGAGACAATTAAAAATTCGATGTTTGTTTGTTAATTTGGATTCTAGAGCGATTATTTGGCTGTTGTGATGATTCCCGCACGTGTTGCTACGGATTTTGTTGTCCTCCATGTCTATTCGCTTCTAATGCCAAGAAGATCGATGAAAGTAATTGGTGGGCAATGTGCTGTGCATATTGTTGCTTAGGAAGCTGTTATTTATGCTGGATACCGCAATATTTCAAACGGCAAAAACTTCGAAAAAAGTATGGTCTACGTGAAGATCCGGCATGTGGTGATCTTCCCGCTACAATATGCTGTAATCTATGTGCACTCTGTCAAGAGGCTCGTGAGTTAAAATCAAGAGGTGAGTATGCAATAGTACTGTCGATTTACTGACTTTTAACATTTATTTTATGTTATAGAGATAGTCGGAGGCGTTAATTTTCAAGCTAAAAGTTCAACTGTTGTGTCTGAACCAAGGCTCTCTAGAGGATCCTCGGAAGAAGCAGATGAATCAACTGCGCTTCAGCCAAACAAACAATAGATGTGAAACAAACTTTAAAGATATTAAACAAAATCGTCGTTCTTAACATTTTTAATTCTCGTTTATTTGCAGTTACAGCATATTCTTCTCTAGTTAACGTCATCAGGACTAACTTTTGATCAACCCGTCTCGCCTCGAGCTTCAGCTAACGGTTTGATCAGTGCTCAAGTCTTTCCTATACTTCAAAAGAACATATCTTACTCTATCAAAAAGAAGATCTCCTAATAATAATGTACCTTTTCTCATATCATATTTTACATGCCTTCATAAGATTAATAACAGATCTCATCAGGTAAAGCATGAAGCATACTTTAAAATAAAGCCGATGCATACATCGTATGATGACATGTATCTCGAATAATTACATTCGACATGAATCATCTAACAAAAAGCTTTTGTAAACATAAAGCACACTAAATAGCGATCGTAGACATCGGCGTGACCCACCCATATTTTTAGTCATGATCATTCACAGTCATCATGATTTGAATAACGATCGTAGACATAACTCTTATAACCCCGATCATCAGTCTAGCCGTAACCATGAATCAAAAAATTCTATTGGTTATGTTGGTGCCACATCTTTGGTCACTTCCGTGTGTATAAATTATTCAGACAGAGTGTTGATTAAATATTGTTTTGTGCGATAGACTTGATGATATGATGACTGTTGGGTGTGATATAAGAGAAGAAAGGAAATTTATGGTAAGGAACAATAAAATGTTTATGATTATAACGCTCAATGAAAAATTTAATTAACAACGAAAGAAAGTTTCTAAAGAAATATTCCTACAAATAATTTCTAATAACAATGTTATTGTAGCTGATTAATAATTGAAATAGCAGGACACTTCATTCGAAGTTTGAATGCATTTTAGTACTATTTGTTTTTAGAAAATCAATCAAGATTATATTGATTTTCTTTGTATGAATCACTTATCTATTAGAAAGTGACTAATATTACCGTTTGCATCCAATAGATCTAGTGGGGCGAGGGGAGTTACGTCATTGATTCAGTATTGCACGTAAACTGTTGAGTATATCAGGCGCCACAAAAATGGTAATGGCCAATCACAACAATAAGAAAAATGATAGTAGTCTGTAAAAAAATTCACTAAATTCTTTACTAAGCAGAAACAGGATGTAGAAGATCAATAAGAAGAAAGAGAGTGAGTAGAGAATGCAAGAGAATGAGCAGAAAGAAAGTGAAGAAGTAAAGTCGGATTTCAGAATGAAAATATGTCATGAGATAGTTAATGTAACTAATGAGATGGAGATGGCTTAGAAATAAAATGAACGCTAGGAAAAGCACAGAGAACAAGGCAACCAACATATGAATAGAGTGGACACAAAAGGAAAGGAGAACATAGATGACGACTAGTGCTATGACAAGGAGTCGAGACAATTTTCAAAATCCACACCTACATCCCCATCAAGGCTGCTTTTTAAACGTGCGAAGCTGCGTCCATAAATATAATATTCAATAGTAAGCTGTTAAAAACGCAATGAAAAAATATTTCCAAATGAATGAACTCCGTCAGATAGGAATAGAATCGAACACTTCCATGGAGTGTAAAAATGAAAAAAAAACATGATTCTCGACAATTTAATGCCATAACACGAAAAAATGGCACTTTCGATGACGAAATAGATATG